TTTTCCCTTTCATATCAATGAAATGTCATGTTTTCTATTTTAGAAATTATTATTTTTTTAAATCCAGACACAATAAAACTGCAAAGATAAATTAATTTTATTCTACAGGGTACTCCTCTAATGATTCATTCAACACTGATGTTTGAGAAATACATCAGTGTCCCAAGGTTTACACACACATATACACACGTGCGCGCGCACCCCCCCTCCCACACACACACACACCTACTGTTTTAGAATCAACTCACTTTTCTCCCTGCAGCTTGTTGGTTTTCACAATGAGGTCTTGAGTTTGCTCTTTCGCAGCCTGTTGAAAATAAGAAAATACATTTTTAAAGCGCATTTAGAAAAAAATATTTTTTATAAAAATAAGTCATTCAAGTCAAATGGTAAACATTTGTTATCAACTTTGAACGAATAAGCTATTCTTTGTTAAATTCTCTATTTTAGAATAAGAATATTCTGTTCAGTGCCCTGAGATGACTTCTGTTGTGACTCGGCACTATATAAATAAACTGAATTGAATATTATTCTAAACACAAGATTCAGAAAATGTTATTACCATACCTTAAGTCTGTTGGTCATTTCTTCACAACAAGTGCTCATCGCCTGAACATCCTCATGAACACTTTCAAGCTCCTATAGAGAAAAAAAAAACAAACATAAAACAACTAAACACAGGATGTTCCAAGCAAGTATCAGATAAGAGTACTGATCAGAATCAGAACGATCTTTGATTCTGATATCAGAATCTGATAATATCTGTCTGTGGTTTTCTGTGGCATCATCAATGCCACAGTAAAACTGCAGTAGAGCAGTCACAATTCAGATATCTGTTGGGATGTACAGGCCAAGAAATTAAAGGATAGTCGGCGCCAATTGCAATTTTCTCTACAATTTAGAGGTAAAAGATTTGCTAACAAGCCACCTGACTAGCACCAACCATTCTACATGAAGGCTACAGATACTATATCACATGATCACACGCGCTGATACAAACTCAGACAAAATAGTACTGATTTAATAATCAGGCCAGATATTAGCAAATAATCCAATAATACATAACTTGAGCACTTCTTTTTCCTGCACCTTCCATTTCACGCCCAGCCTGCTGCTGCGCTGTCAGTCACTAACACAATGCTGATGTGAAAGTAAACACTGAAGTAATTGAGGAAAAAATGAAAATCTCTGTGGTGACAAAACACAGAGATGATACAACTTCATTTTGCAGAAAAAAGAGCCCTTTTTCACATGTGAAACTTTTTCTGACTTTATTGTTGTTAGCATCATCACAGCTAGCAGCATAGTGATGCAACACATTTTCAAAGCATCTGAAGCTTCATTTTGAATACTACACAAACAGAGATAGGCTCATATCATTCAAAAGCAACATCATGAATGGAGATGATCATTTAGTCTGGCTCAAGGAGTCTAGGTAGGAAACTATTCCCAACGCTCTCTGTGATTACAAGAAATTGTGTCTGCATCCGTGTATCATGTTGCAAAATAATACAAGTATTAAAGTGAAACTCTGAATTGTCTGGTCATCTTTTAAGAGACTTGAATCTGTATTGAAGACAAAAATATATATACTGGGACATGCCCACTACACACACAAACTCAATGTTAACAAATTGTTTTATAGAATGTGTTTATCACAGAATTTTAAATAATATCAATTTTACAATGACATAAATTAAACTATAATTCCACCTTTTGTAAACAGTAACTGCCAGGAAATGGTATTTAGTAGTTGTGATCTGAAATAGGCATCAAGAAGCAGTTACTAAAATTATGTGAACCTACAGTGTAATCATTGTGTTTCTGATCAATAGCACACAAAGGTTTTATATAAACAATGAATAGTTCCATCCATCCATTATCTTTACCCGCTTCTTCCTTTTCAGTGGTCACTGGTGCCCATATCCAGCAGTCACTGTGCGAGAGGTGGCGAACAGCCTGGACAGGTCTATTACAGGGACACATAGAGACAAACGAGACAAACAACCATTCACTCTCTCATTCACACCTAGGGACAATTTTGAGTTACCAATCAGCCTAACATGCATGTTTTTGGTCTGTGGGAGGAAACCGGAGTACCTGGAGAAAACCCATGCATGCACAGAGAGAACATGTAAACTCCACCCAGAGAAGCCCCTGGCTGGGATTCGAACCAGCAACTTTTTTTTGCTGAGAGGCAACAGCTCTACCAACTGAGCCGCTGTGCTTCCACAATGAAAAGTTAGTCTTCTTTAAATAAAATAAAGATAAAGTTATACCTCTTTCACTTCTTTAAATATTCCTGCAAACTCCTCGTTAATCGTAAGACTTCGTCGTTCTATATCACCTCGAAGATTTCTTCTGGTGCGCAAACTGTTTTCACCGAAAAACACTGACAGCGCTTTCAGAGCCTCCAGCATGTCCTGAAAACACCAAAAACCGAAAGTCATAAAGCATGTTATCACAAGTTTAACACAAAACAATCAAGACATTAAGTGGACTTACTTATAGACTTAGATATATAAGATTTACATATAATTAAATTAATAGCCCAAATGTTGTAACATCTGTCTGAATTTTAGACAGGTTTCCTTTCCCAGCATTTCATGAAAACAAAATTCTCAGAGTTTTCACTGATTGTTTCACTGATTTGAGTAAATCCTGAAATTCCAGGAGATATTTCTGTCACGCAAAACGCTATTAGTACCATTTCTATGCTGGTGAAGATTCTCAGTCATTTAGGTCATGATCTGTCCAAAAGGTTACAAAACAAAACCATCTGGACTTCTGTTCTGAAGCTGAAGACGTTTTGCTTTCCATCCGGGAGAATTATCAATTCAAAACCATTCTCAATACAGTACATTAAATACTTTGTCAAACCAAATCAAACTAGCAGTGTCGACTCAGTCTATAAAAGGAAGCTGTAGGTAAGTGCAAATGGTTAAAATAACACAAATTTACCTTGTTAATGTGCTTTTAACAGCGAGTAACTTAAGGGAATCTTTCAGTTCCAAACGACAGCTACTGTTAGCATCGTGCTAGCAGCAAGCTAACCCTTCCAACATACCTTGTCATTGTCGAGCCTCGTTTCTAATATTTTGTTGAGCTTCCTCGATAGCGGGTTATTGGGCTGTGAAGGCACATTTGAATTGGATGATAAAGTGGAGCTGTCCGCTGAAGTTTCTACTTTACTGCTGGCCATTGTACAAACGCTCGTCCACGTCAACTCTTCCGAACGCTGTTTTGGTCCGTTTGGAATTAACGTCCGGGTGGAGTCCACACTCCTGGAGGACAGCGGCACAACGTTCCGCCAAGTTCTGAATTGTCTCTAAAAGCAAATTGATCATTTCTATTAGGACATTACAATGGTATTGAATATTTTTAATGTAAATGAGGCTGCGCAAATACAATTTATTTGAACTGTTTATAAACAGTTACCCATAACGTTATTTAGTTTTATTATTGTAAGTTGGAAGTTGGGCATGATATTCGGTCATTTCATATAAATATACACTTTCATGCAAGTGACCAAAATAGCTCTCCTGTGAGCCAGGCAAAAGCTCTTCCATACATCTACCGATTAACGCAACCCTTGAAAGCTGCAGTTCCACCTGTCTAGTTTTCGAGGCGCCTTGAACGCAGCAGGAGCAGGAGGTACGGCAGCTCTGAGTCCAGCCTCTGGGTGGGGATTTGTGTGATTGATGGTCACCTCCCAGCAGTGCTCCATGGACTCTCCCCTCCTCCTCCCGCTCCCTCTCTCTCCTCTCTGAGCAGGAATGTAAGATCTGGAGTCCGCTCAGTCGGTGTCTCAGCGCCGCAGAGGAGCGAATCATCTTCGCTTGCGATTAAAAATATTAACAAGGAGGAGGAAGTGATCTGTGTGCGGATACTCACTACGATCCCCATTTTCAAAAAAAAAAAAAAAAGGACTTAATTATTTGCTCGATCGTAATTGTTTTTCCTCATTTTCTCGACTGGAGAAAAGTTTGCGTGCAGACCAGCTGGAGTCCGCAGATCAGACACCGAGCGCACCTTGGACCCGAAGTCTTCCAACATGTAAGATTATGGATTCCTCCTTATTTGTTGTCATTATTTTTATTCCAGCACATAGTTCCTTTAAGTCAACTGTAATAGACAGAAATCACTGCCTGATCGTGAAGGCAGCTCCTGCAGGGACCTGAAGCTATAAGAAATGTCCAACAATATGTGGTTCTGCACTTGGCTGTTAATTAACTCATCATAAGCTGCATTGTTTGAAGTTTCACCAGCCATACAGGATTTTATATATACATATATAT